TACTAAAGCACTCAGAAGTAGGAGCCCCGCTAAGCGGTTTGTAAAAAAGAGTGGTTTATAAAAAAATAATCACGAAGGGGATGGCGGGGTCTATTCGCTCGCTCACTAGACCCCGTCATCCCCTTCTAACCTAACCTGTCCGAGTCAGGGTGCCCCACGTCCCAGGCTCACTTCACTTACTATTGAATAAAACTAAATTTACGAATTTTATCGCATTTATTTCACTACTTTTACTTATTTTTAATTCCCGACGTTTTGGGTGCTTTACAGCAACCATCGTCACGGGGGGGACTGGACTATTAAAAATAAGTAAAAGTAGTGAAATAAACATGATAAAATCCGTAAATTTAGTTTTATTCAATGTGTAGTGTTCGCGTAAATTTAAGAAATCATCACTTGCTATTGCTCAATATAACACCAAAAAATTTACTTTTATAGCTACTTTATTTTAAAAACATCATTTATGGCTGCCACCATTTGTAAGAAAGGATCTTTGTGATATTTAGCAGTATTCTGCTGCCACAAATATTCCACTATTTACCAAAATTCCGAAAGTCAGAAGCAACGGCATCACGTAAAGCTTTCAACAAAGTAGCCGGCCTAGCGATTAATTTTACACATTTTTAAATCGATTTGAATTGAAATTGGATGAATCTATTCACAAAAATTCTAAATCTTAGAGATCGATTTCGCAAAAATCAATCTTTTTTTTATTTGCGTTAAGAGTTTATATTTACAATATCAAAAGATACAATAAAGTACAGATAACATTGAATGATTGAATTGAAAAACTGGCATTCCCTACGAGTTGGGGTACATTCAACTAATTGTAAATAATTTTATAGTTCTTAATAAAAATGAAAAAGATTTGATCTCAATTCTCTAGGGCGAAATATTGATTCACTAGATTGATTCAGTACTATTCGATATGACATTGACAGATGTAACGTCAAAAACATGAGAATATTTAATTATTAGTCATTTACAAATATTTTTAAAAATACTTCGACGCTGCTGCGGCAGCAAAAATTGCATGGGGGTGCTTCAGATAAACCCCCTTGCCCCCCCCCCCCTCAGTGACAGAATCCTCAAATTCAGGCGACCTAATTGTAAATCCAACCCGAGAATCCACTATAGAGAGAATCTACAAAGGAAAAGTGAAATAAGATAACAGCTTAAAATAATAAAAAAACTGCAATACTATAAGGCTATATGAGGCCATAATTGAAGCCAATGAAACCAAATGAAACTACTTCAAAAATAAACAAACAACATTTTCTTACTTTTCTATTAGGCTTGAGTCTTCAAAAGGTACAAAATCATTTTTCCGGCTTAGGAATGCCGCATCTGGTTTTTTCAAATCGTAGATATCTTTCAATAGTTTTCTTGTCCGCTCTGATGGATTTCGTCCTTGCAAAAATATACACTGTTTCGGTCCCTCGATTGGTTTTGGTTCCTTGGAAAGTAAAACTTTTTTGCCTCTTCTAGTAGTGGGTTTTCTGCAAATGACATATCAACGATTAGCAAATTGTGTAAGTTGATAATAATAATAGTTTGTTAAATTTATATTACTTAATCCGTTGGATAACAGCCATTTTATTTAATTATTATGATTTTTATAACCAACAAACAAACATCAAACACGTGTTAGGTGTTAGTATGCGTTAGATTGACGTTTAATTTGACAGTTTGACACACCAAACTTATTTTTTTAATTGGCTTTATGGCTCTGGGTTCTAGCTTTTCTGAGCCCATTATTTCTTTCGGGATCTTCCTTTGACTAGAGAAAAAAGAAAGGACATGACATACCTACGAAAAAAACGTGTATACCTAAACGGAGTCTGGCACAAAGATGTCGGCTTGACATAGTGCTGGGCACTATACTTAATATCGATAATATGGCGTTTATTTAGAAAAAGATTCTTTCGTGTGATTCGTCTCAAACACCCTTGTGTTCTTAGATAGTTCTTTTTTTTTTAAATCAATATGACGGATTTTTTTCGCCAAATTATAAGTCCTTAATTTTTTGTTTTACTCAAGCCATCGATAGGGGTATCCAAATAAAATAAATTAAAAGGAGATTACTGAAGTATATATGAGTTATACCTACGTTTTCAGTGCATTACTTTTAAGCAGTCGTTTTTTTTTGTTTTTATAATGTAAAAAAGTAAAAGTAAAGTTACAGCCTATATACGTCCCACTGCTGGGCACAGGCCTCCTCTCATTTCTGAGAGGGTTTTAGGGCAAGGAATAGTCGGCCGCGCTGCCCCAATGCGTGTTGGCGAACTTCACATGTCTTCGAAATAATTTTTTTCTTATTTCTCAGTCATGCAGGTTTCCTCACGATGTTTTCCTTCACCGACGAGCACGTGGTAAATCAGCACTTAAAATTGCAATTAACAATTTCATTGGTGCCGGCGGGGATCGAACCCGGTTTGCTCGAGTATTGTGAAATTTACAGCGAGCGCTAACCATCTGAGCTACCACGGCTCATTATAATATATAGAAAATGATTGTAACATTAATAATAATTTAACTATCTATTATTAATGTTACAATTATTTTCCGGGAATTACTAAACAAGAAATACTAATTAAAGAATTTTTTGTTTGTTTGTTAGACAATAAATTAGACTCAGTCATAATACTGACACTAATTAAATTACAATAAATGCAAATGTTTGAATGTTTGTTTATTCCTTAATCACGCCAAAAGTGTCAGACCAGTTTGAATATAATAATTTGGCACGCAAATAGTTTATTACCTGAATTAACATATAGGATACTTTTTATCCCGATTTAGAGGTCCCGAGGAATAGAATAAGAAATTTCGTAATAATCGAATTCCACGAGAGAAACATATAATAACACACTACCTCACTAAAGTCGCAATGACAGCTGATATAGTTGTCATTGACTGTGACAGAACATGGCGCCCGACCGCAGCAAAAAAATTGTTGCCATATTCGGTAATGACAAAAGTACGTTATAGGTAAGTTGTCCTTTTTTACATACGAATATAGTCATAGGCTAAAAAGAGACGCCGATATTTCGTTACATTCCTACAACTAACGATCTTTATGTCATGTCCTTTCTTTTTTCTCTAGTCAAAGGGATCTTCATTTTTACAGACTTTTTCTTCACAATATACTGATGCGGCACATTGTGAAGTTTTTGGGAGATTCTAACGACAGACTTTACGAATTTAAATTTACTTCCAACCATAATTCAAGCGACAAAACGGGAGTGACAATCCGTTGATGGCCAAATTCCCTCCAAAAATTTACAGAAAATCCTTATCTATGCACAACATCATAGACATGGAGGTTAGAGAACAGGAGAACGATCACTACGTGCTAAAGCATAGTTCGCCTGTCCCTGACAAATTGTAGAATTTATAGCCGCGTTGCCGTCGGGAAGTAGTGTCTGCGAAGTAATTTTTTAATTTGTGACAAAAAGAAACATTAAAAATGGTGAAATATTATAAGAAAATAATAATAAATTAATAATATTTAATAATTTATATTAGTTAAAGTTTATAATATTTATAATAATTAAAATTATAAAAAAGAACATTATTTATAACTTATTTATTAATAAATAATAATAATTTCGTTATTTTCTTTTTTAAAATATTGCTTTAATCAAGGGGATTTATTAACTGCCCAGTGGAAAGGTATTTTAATGGGTCCAACTTTGCAAATTGGAAATTTTAACATAGCTCTACGTTTCAAGGTCTTTGGAGTCGAATACTATCGTTTTCAAGAGAATGTCCGTGTCTGCACATGTACGTATGTGTGTATATATGGATTCAATTTTCGCGTCATGTATCTCGAGAACAAAGAGTGATATTAACATGGGACCAGTTTCATATAACTCATAATTATGTAACTTAGACCTCATTAAATTTTGAGCAAAATCGGTCAAATCGTTTTTTGTGCCGAATGAAAAAGTATATAAAATATTAAAACATATGATATTCTTTTATACTTGTCACTGGGAAGGTAGTCGTGTGGACCTTTCGGGTCGCGACTAGAACGTTTTTGCTTCACATGAAGCCATATCAGTGATTTTATTTCCAATACGTTGTCCCATTCAATTGCGGCGATATTCCCGCACTCTAGTCAGTTACTCACTAGCCGCTAGTGAGTTGACACGTGTTGGTTGAGTGTATAAACAAAATCTCCTGATAAAATATGCCATAGTGTGTTTTAAAATATTGCACAAATAATTCAAGAAATCTTAGAATATACTAAAGAATAACTTTTCATCGGTGAATAAAACACTTAAGAAATGAGAAAAGTATTATAGATTATTTATAAAAAATTAAAATTGTTCAAGGTATCAATTCATAGAGATATTCAATACTAAATTTAATCCTTCTTTTCATTGACCAAAGAAGGACATGTGTCAAATTTACAGTATATATGATATTGCTGATAACGAAGGTAAGATTAAATTACGCTATGACTGCGTTTAAAAAATAAATCTATTTTTAGATAAATAAAAGATTATGCAGTAAGAAGTTGCAGTTTTTGATTTAGAAAAGGTTCAAAACATTCCTTAATCTAATGTGGGAGTTTTTCATTATAAAAGAAAATATCATGTGTATAATTTTACTACTAATTTTCCCATAACACACTATACTTCAGTCATAATAAGATGTTATCTAGAGAGAAAAGATGTAAAAAAACGAAAAGATGTAATGTTTTAACCACATGTACTTCTCATATCATACTCTCGCTCTCCTGTAAAATATACTTTTTACACTTGTGCCTTTGTTCTTTTCAAGGTACGGAATGACATGGTAAGACTTTTAATTTTAATGATCTGTTTATTATGGCTTGATAACAATTTTGTAAGAGCTGCTGTGCTGTACAATTAAAGGCTTAAAGTGATTATATAATTTATTCTGATATTATTGATAATGAGTACAATGCGCGATGGCGAATCATTGCGTACTAAATTGATGAGAATGAAAAATGATACAATAAGCTAAAAATGTTGATGTGCAAAAAAGAGCGGTTTGTAAAGACCGTACATGCTGCGGGGCCAGAGAGAGAACTAATAATGATTGATAGGTGATTACAAAATGAAACAAAGTGATAATGATGATAATACTACAGAAATATATATTTATAAGCTAAATTTAAATTAATGACTTATAAATTTCACACTTTACTACACTGCACTAAGATCACTAAAACATTTCCGAACTTTAGGCAACGTCGACTTATCAGTTGGCGATACCGTGGGGCTCGACCGATGCTGCTATACGTGCGGTGCATCTGCAGCGTAGGCTTGATAAAGCAAATAGTGCTGATGCTAGTATAGCTGCTCACAACGGAAGATAAATAACCACATATTGATTTAGGTTGTGGTTTGATAACTGAACTCTGAGTCATATTTTTAAAATGTTTTCGATCCTCCTCATTTTCTGACTCGTCGAATTTCGCGAGCCTTTGGAGAAGAATTGACAGGTTGATGACATTATTGATTGGAGGTATGCCTATCTTTACTTTTATTTCTTTACCCTTTTGTAAGTTAATGTTTTGTTGGTTGTCCCCTTTTGTTCGTCGCTTGCATAGCTCTGTCGCTTCTAAAATGTCGGGCCTGATATTATAATTAGTGACCTGCTTTCTGTATGAAAAATATTGTCAATGTTTCACTTTTGATTTTTGACAATGATACAGACGTCCTCGAGAATAAAAATACCGGCCTTGCTAAGTTAATGCGCTGTATCATGATGCTCACATATTATTCTTATCGTTCTTTGATTACAGCAAAAGTACGTATTGTTACGAGCAAGTCGTATCCGATACTATTCCGATGATATCCCGAACATCAGTCTGAGCGAGATTGGCTGTCCAGCATCTTAAAAACGGCTAGGTCCCAGGCGAAGATAGAATTACAGGGGAGCTTCTGAAAGCGGATGGAACATCGGTACTTAAAGTCCTTCAGAATCTCTTAAATTCCATCCTCCATGGACTCTGGACTCCGGAGACTTGGAGCAGAAGTGCGTTGGTCTTGTTCTTCAGAAAGGCGACAACGCGTTCTTGAAGAACTACAGACCGATTTTCCTTCTGAAACCCGTGTACGTGCTGTTTTCCAGAGTCATTACGAATCGTCTCTCACGCAGACTCGGCGACTTCCAGAACAAGCTGGTTTCCGAATAGGTTTCAGTACCATAGACTACATACATACCCTGCGGCAGATTGTACAGAAGACCGATGAGTACAATCTGCCACTTTGGCGTATGTTAACTATGAGAAAGCCTTTGATTCCGTCGAAATTTTGGCGGTGCTACAGTCCCTTCAGCGGTGCCAAGTTCACTGTTGGTCTATCTAAGTGCTGAAGTGTTTGTACAGTAGGGCTACGATGGCTATCCGAGTACAGAACCAGAGTTCGAAACCTATCCAACTGCAGAGAGGTCTAACACAAGGTGAAGTTATATCCTCGAAACTCTTCGCCGCTGCATTGGAAGACCTTTTCAAGCTACTGGACTGGAAAGAATACGGTATTAACATCAATGGCAAGTACATCACGCATCTTTGATTTGCTGACGATATAGTCCTTATGGCAGAATCGTTGGAGGACCTAAGCACTATGCTCAATGACCTCAATAGTGTTTCCCAACGCACAGGTCTTAAGATGAAAATGGACAAAACAAAGATCATGTTTCATGTCCATGTTACACCTATACCGGTAGTTGTTGGGAGTACTAAGCTCGTAGTTGCTAACAAGTACGTTTACCTGGGACAAGTAGTCCGACTAGGTAAGTCCAACTTCGACCGAGAGGTCAATCGACGGATTCAACTCGGCTGGGCAGCCTTTGGGAAATTACGACACATCTTCTCGTCAATTATATCTCAAAACCTGAAAAATAGATTGTACAACCAGTGCGTGTTACCAGTGATGACTTACGGATCTGAGACGTGATCCTTCACTGCTGACCGTATGAAGACGCTCAAAGTCGCTCAGCGAGCTATGGAGAGGGCTATGCTCGGGGTTTCTCTGCGTGATTAACTTAGAAATGAGGATATCCGTAGTAGAACCAGAGTCACCGACATAGCCCAACGGATTAGTATGCTGAAGTGGGAATGGGCCGGCCATATAGCTCGAAGCAACGACAACTGTTGGGGAAAACAGGTTCCCGAGTGGCAGCCTCGTACGTAATGTAAGGCGACCCCCCACTGTCGATGGAGTAGCGACCTGGTAAGACATGTAGAAAGTCGATGGTCCATTGCGACATTCCTTGGGGGATGTTCAGCTGTGGACTTGTGAAGGGCTGTAATGATGATGATGATGAATAGTCAATTGACTCTATTATTGTATCTAAGTAAAGCCAAAACCTGTACCTACTTCATAATAAATGTTGATATTTTGAAAACCATTTGTTTTAGTTTAAATATTTTTATATTATATTGTAGGTAAAATTTTAGATTTTTACTATTTAGTTGAAGAGGAGGCAATCGTTGGGGATGGATAGGAGATGAATGGGAAGGATGTTAAAAATAATACTGATAACGTTTTATTTACAGTTTATTGTTACTGGCGACATTATAAAATAGTTATTACAGTTTTTTTAAAACTTAATTTCTATCTGTTATCATTGTAGAATGTTAGAAATAGTATAATTTCGATAGGGTCACCCTTAAAGTGTCAATAATTGAGCACTTTACCCTAAATGTTTGAAGACAGCTACAAAAAGATCAAAAAATCAATCAACAGCAAGATGTAGTATGTATCTCATAAAAGGCATTCTACGCAAAAAATGGAAATCCGAACGTTCAGCGGCAACTATCAGCAGTGGTCATCTTTCAAAGATCTCTTCATGGAAATCACCCACGAGAATAAATTCATTTGAAATGTGCCAAAAATGCAACATTTTAAAAGGGAGTAGCCGAGAAACTAATACAACATCTAAATATTAGTTCCGAAAATTCTGAATCATCGGTATAACAATAAAATATTGATTTTCAGTTCTCACATGAACACGTTATTTGGCTTGCCAGCAATACAATATCAATCATCAATGGCCCTGATAAAATTGCACGACACCACAAAAGAGTGTCTAAGTGCCGTGAGAACTTAGGCGTGAACACATCAAGTTGGGATCACACTGACCACTTTGAAAATATCTTGGAGAGCCGAGGGAATTGCCCACGCTATCTGAATTTCTGACTTTATTGTAAATGCGATTCACAGCATTAGAATCGTCTCAGCAAGCTGAGACGATTCTAATGCTGTGAATCGCATTCGCAATCGCAAGAGTAATCAGCAAGCTACCTATCAAGATTCCAAAAAAGCTCAATATTCCAAGGCAAACCCGGGTTCATCAACTAAAACAATTATCAACCATACAAATGCGTAGTCATTAAAATCATTAGCAAGGAATAAATACACCTGTCCATTTTGCAACAACAACAACGTGGAATTTTCCACTGTGAATCGTTTCTAGATCTGACACCAGAATTAAAACGAAAAACAGTAGCAAAATTGAATTTATGCCAAACCTGTCTTTTTGATCATCAAGGCAAAGACTGTTTTTCCGCTAAAAAATGCGCTCAGTGCAAAATCGATCACAATACTTTACGAGTATTGCACGAAGCATACGTATCAAATATCAACCCAAGCTAGCGAGACAACAACAAAACGGTCAAATAGCAGAGAAACGTGACACATGTTTTACAAGAAAATGTTACCGAAGTCCTCCTGGCAACAGCCAAAATTAGGGTGTTATCGGATGATGTGAGCGCTGATCGATCAAGGATCACAAACATCACTTATCAGCGAAAACGCCGCTCTAAGACTTGGCCTTCCACGAGAACGTTGAAGGGTGTTATATTCGGGTTTGTTTGTGCCAATAACTGCAAAGGCATCATCCCTATCACAGCATCAACGATGAATTCAGAATACACATTCAGTATTGACGTCATCATCATGAAAACTTTGGTAAACCATCTACTGAACAGATTATTTGACAAATCGTCATGGAAAAATGTTGAAGGCCTTGTAAGCTATATAGCTTGCCGATCCAGATTTCAGTATCAGCCGTCCCATAGACATATTACTGGGTGCGAACATCTATCCGAATATCATCTTGAGTGAAATCATCAGAGAAGATGAGAGTAGATAGGTAGTACCACTTCTGGCTCACTGAGTCAGAAGTGGTATAACGTTCGTCGACTAACGATCCTAAAAAAAATAGGTTTTGGCATGCTCTGATCACGAATCTGCGGTCCGTTTTTGCGTAGGATGCACGGTTCCGGAGATGTGCAGATTAATTAACTCTTATCTAATTGATATCCGGTGAGGACCTCCACCGTCATTAGCGCCCCATTGTTCTTATCTATTTATCTATTGTTCATTGAATACCATCATTGTCTATTTTTCCTCGGCGTATGCGTCGGCTTATCAGTGCTATTGTATTATACTTCTTTGTTCCTATCTACAACGCTAATCTAAATCATCAATAAAACACATTACCTAATTTTGTTACAATTTTTATTTACAAAATACAAAATCTTATTACTTATTGTCTATAAAATAGGAGCGAAACATCTCATCCACTAAAATATCATCCATCATCCCATTTCTTCCTTCTGCTCTTGTCTTCCTGGAATTTAAGTAAACAGAATTACTTTCAGTAATGATCAACTAATGACTGTCATTGTTAAAAAATTATTTTTTAACTTTTTCACTTTCTGCTATTGTACTGTACTGTGTTGGCTAGGAAATGTCCGCGGCGCTGCCTCAATGCGTGTTGGCAAACTTCAAATGCCTTCGAAATTTTCTCAGACATACAGGTTTCCTCACGATGTTTTCCTTCACCGCCGACCACGTGGTAAATCAGCACTTAAAATTGCAATTAACAATTTAATTGGTGCCGGCGGGGATCTAACCCGGGTCGCGTACTGTGAAATTTACAGCTTGCGCTAACCATCTGAGCTACCACGGCTTAATCATATACGCACACAATATTTAAATATAATTTGTTAACACTAAATCATACACACGTAAGAAAATAACAGAAAGAAAAGTAAGTTTGTCAATAGAATAAACACTTACATCCATAGCCTTTGATGCATTCAAGTAACACAAATGTAGTATTGATAGATGCACTGCGGTCAAACGACCATACACTAACTCCATGACTGCAGCTGCTCGGTCTTATATAGTACCAGTAAGTAATAATTCTAATCTAAAGAATTTCTACAGTGGAACTGATAGTACGAGTAACTTTATGCGTCAACAATCAACGTTTATCTCAACATTCCTTCGTGTTGCATCTTGTTCAGTGTATTCATGACTCAAATACGATTTGTATAACACAAAGGAATGCAATTTAATATTTAGAAATCACTATAATTGATCATTCCTATGTTAGTCATTGAGTAGATTGCTACTGTAATAATCTACTAATAGCAGTAATATCATGGATACACTAGATGTACAACAACATCTGAAAAAGATTCACCCCAGTCTAGAAAATAATGTTTATGCTGCTGCCCATGTATACCCACGTACCAACGTATATAATATGCAATTTGGATACAGATGATAAACCAGGGTCACATTGGGTAGCTTTATATATCGATACGAATGACGTCGGTCAATATTTTGATTCATATGGACGGTCACCTGTACGATATCATCTAGACTTTTTAAAAAGGAATTGTAAAAGATGGAATTAGAATGTTGATAGTATTCAGAATGAGTGGACTTCAGTTTGTGGCGAATATTGCTTAATGTATTTGCTATATAAGTTTCAGGGATGTTCATTGCATTGTTTTACGAGTATATTTACAGGGAACACATTGTACAATGATATTTTAGTGGATGAGATGTTTCGCTCCTATTTTATAGACAATAAGTAATAAGATTTTGTATTGTTACGAGCCGAAGTCGACGGCACTAGCGCCATCTAGTATCGAACAGAAGAACTAAGCTTCTGGAAGCTGACTCTCGAACTTTCGGCGCTTTGTCGATCGGTGCGCGTATTTACTTGAATTGTTCTGGATGATTCGGTACTAATGTGTATTTATAGGCGTTGCAAGGTGCGATCGAGGAAGTATTGGATTTGGCGAGATAAGCGAAGCTTCGGAGCGAGATAAAGTGAATCAGTGTGATTAATTATTGGTGTTTTTAACTTTAATTAGTGTAAAGTGAATTAAAGTGTTAATTTAGGTAATTCTATCGGCAATTTTTATTGTCACGAATCTCAAGCTCGTAACAATTGGTGTCAGAAGTGGGATTAAATCATGCCGATTTTACCTAAGGAGGAAACGGAGGGTGTCCGTACCCGAAGTCAACGCCAGCAGAGACGGACCAGAGAAGATTTGGTGGTGCAACGCCGCAGACGTCAGAGGGCCAACTGCCAGCCACGGAGGCTGGCCCGTCAGCAGCTCCTACACCTGCAGCACCTGACTTAGGTGCTCTGATGATGATGCTGCGGGAGCAGGCCCGTCGGTTGGAAGAGCAGCTGAAGCGTGGACAGGAGGAACAGGCCCGTCAGTTGAAAGAGCAGCAGGAAGAACAGGCCCGTCGCTTAGAAGAGCAGCTCAAATGCGATAGGGAAGAGCAGAAGCTTCTCATGATGGACCTTCACGCTACCTTCGGGAAAGAGATAAGGGAGGTGAAGGATAAGGTTGCTCAACATGATAACCGCCTGTCGGAAGCTGACACCCAAATCAACCAAGTTAAGAAAACGCTAGATGAACTCAAACTTGGAGATGCAATTGCAGCTCCCGTAGTCGCTACTACACCTTCACTACGTGGGTTCAAGGTGCCACCGTTCGACGGGACTTCTTCCTGGTCAGCCTAGAAAATCCAGTTCGAGGCTGTTATGAAAGCGAACGGCTGGAATAAAAGTCAGGCCATGACTACTCTCACACTAGGCCTGCGCGACCAGGCCTTAACAGTTCTTGAAGCTCTCGGTGAGGAAGTGACTTATGAGCAACTCCTTGAGGCATTAGAGGCGAGATATGGCGACGCTCACCTGGAACACGTCTTTCGTGCACAGCTTAAAGATCGCGTGCAGCGCATCAACGAAAACCTGCAGCAGTGGGCTCTAGAAGTAGAGAAGATGGTGCGGAAAGCATACCGGTCTGTACCTGCGCTTATTGAAGGGAACCTGGTGCAGAAATTCATCGACGGCATCCGCGACCTGGAAGTCAGAGCTGCTGTGAGGCTCGGGCACCACGACACGCTTAAGGACGCCTTGGCCCATGCGCTGGAGGTGGAAGCCGTGCGGCAGGATCATCGTTCCCATCGCGTCAGGGAGGTTGCAGCAGCTACAGTTCGCGACTGCAACAAAGGATACAGCCCTAGGTGCTATGCCTGTGGGGAAACGGGCCATCTACGATCCAGCTGCCCTAAGCGAACTGAAGAAAGGGAAGTTGATCGATCTCGAGAGGGTAGTGCAGCTAACGGCACCGCCTGGCGGTGGTAGCAACATCATTCCCCTCACGCTAGGGAGGTTACAGCAGTTCGCGACCACAATAAAGGATACAGCTGCCCTTAGCGAACCCTAGAAAGGGAAGGTGAACGATCTCAAAAGGGAAGTGCGGCTAACATCACCGCCCAGCAGCAGCCGGGATACGACTTTACTATCAGACATAGCAGCGGGAAATCTCATGGCAACGCAAATGCATTGTCAAGAAGACCTTGTCCTGAAGATTGGAAACATTGTACTAGGCAAAAGAGTAAGGAAGTGGTATCCGTGAGGATGCTCAGGACAGACCACCTCAGCAACGAGTAGAAGGACAGCCTACGACATGCACAGCAGTAAGATCCGGACATCAGGCCGATTCTGGAATGGATGAAGGCTCTCAGCGATGAGGTCGACCACTAGAGGCTATTGGGCCAAGTGGGACGGCTTGCTGATTCAGGATGGAGTCCTGTGCCGTAAATGGGACAGTGGTCGAGGAGACAGCTGTCTTTTGCAAATGGTTGTCCCTAAGGCTAAAGTGCCGAATGTTCTACAGCTGTGCCATAATGGTCGTTCAAGAGTCCATCTGGGAGTTAAACGAACTCTGCTGAAGGTCCGAGAACAGTTTTACTGGGTCCATTATCGTGACGATGTCGAGGCTTGGTGTCGTACATGTACAAGTTGTGCGGCCGTGCGGGGACCTCAGACACGTATTAGAGGAGCACCGAAATTGTACAATGTTGGTGCACCATGGGATAGGACAGCCCTAGACATTGCGGAGCCGATACAGAAAGGCGCAAGAGGGACTCCTAAGATCGTCCATGTGGATCGCCTGGCGCGATGTTATGGGACCGATAATGCTCGGGACGAGCATGTCTTAGGGGGGGCAGTGTTACACGCCGCAGTCGACGGCACTAGCGCCATCTAGTATCGAACAGAAGAACTAAGCTTCTGGAAGCTGACTCTCGAAATTTCGGCGCTTTGTCGATCGGTGCGCGTAGTTACTTGAATGTTCTGGATGATTCGGTACTAATGTGTATTTATAGGCGTTGCAAGGTGCGATCGAGGATTTGGCGAGACAAGCGAAGCTTCGGAGCGAGATAAATTAAATCAGTGTGATTAATTATTGGTGTTTTTAACTTTAATTAGTGTAAAGTGAATTAAAGTGTTAATTTAGGTAATTCTATCGGCAATTTTTATTGTCACGAACCTCAAGCTCGTAACAGTATTTTGTAAATAAAAATTGTAACAAAATTAGGTAATGTGTTTTATTGATTGCAAGAATTTAGATTGATTCTTTACAATGATAACGACAAACAACTATAAAAAAAAATGGTTGTCTGTAAAGTCGGTTTACGGGCGATAGTTTAACGTGACAACGTCATAACAAAACATTGATGAAATGATTGCATACTTTTATGAATAAAATTGAATTATTTTTATTGAATTATCACTATTTTGTATGGATACAAAGAAGGAGTAAAATGAAAACTACATTAGCTTAAGCTTTCGGCGCAAGCCAAACGGTCAAGCCAATGTAGATTTCATTTTACCCTCATCATCATCATCAAACCAGCCACTTCAAGAATACGAACTACTAACAGTGACGTACGGGACGAAAGTAGTGCCGTTCCTGGCAATGAACATACTGAACCAATTAGCTCGCGACGAACGGTCTCGGATTTTTTATTTATTTCACTGAAGCAGCTAAGGTGTTGAAGAGAGACTTTTTCATGGACGATGTCTTCCATGATGGCATCCAGAACAGCATCCCAGCTGCTCTAAAATCAAAAGCAAATCTGATTAATTAAAGAGCAAATTCGATGTAATTAAACAAATATCCGAAGTAAATCAAATTCTAGCAGACCTTCACCACGAGGAAACAATAAATCGTAGGCTTGCTAAAGCGCCAAGATTGAACGCCGAGGTTAGTGAGATTATCGTCCCAATGCTAGACAAAAGCTGTATCAATGTTATTCAAGGCATTAAACGGAAAAAATTATATTTGTTGACGATTTAAGCGAAAACATCAAAACCACCAAATCAATAGAAAAATCTAGCCCGCAGATCAAAAACAAAAATTCACAGTTGTCTGTTCCCAAAAAACCTATTGTCACAGGTGCACAAGGAAACTCAAGTCGCCTCTCCGCTGACCGAGCGGGCAAGGCGTCGCGAGAAACCCATGCGCAGGCTCGGTACTACCCACCACCACGTAACCGCCAGTGCCACGGCATCCTCACCGCCCCCACCGCCGACGAGAACTATCGCGGCTGCCGCTAAAGGTACCACACGCTGGTAGTAACTGACCTTCCTATACAGGACTTCTTACACATTATTTAGACGTAAAAATGGATCCCCAAATATTGAAGATAGTAAAGGGCTATTTATCAGTATTCATTCTCAGAGCTCCTACCGAACTCATAGAGCCTGGTAACCCTCCTGGTTCAGAGACAGAAATGTCAAAATTGATCAAGCAACTTTAAACGCTTAGGATCAATTTTGCCACGTAACGATTGTGGTGGTCAATTTATACTCATCCCTCCGATATTTCATATTCCTAAAAGTAATAGGCTGTATAGATTTATTCTAAATTTGAAGTAATTTAATAAATTTATACTGCAAAATAAATTTAAAATGGAAGACATTCGTAAAGTTTCTAAATTATTATCTAAAGATGACAGGCTTACGACGTAAGGGCCATAAATTAGTAGTCTCTAGTATATACACAGTATGATTAGTAGCGTATTTAAATGACCTTTGGATCACGGCAGACAACTGTAACTCGTGTTTAAATTCAATAACAGAAGATATTCATTCTCTAGAGCATTTTAAAAAATTTCTAAATTTGGTTTTGTGATAAATTATGATGAAAATGTTCTTATACCTAGTAAGGGCTGGGGAATATTATGCAACTGAGAAAGAGTAAACATTACCAAATCTGACGTTTTATTAAGAATTGATAACACCACTGCCATATCCTACATTAACAGGATAAGTGGAATACAGTTTCCACACTTAAACGATGTTACACGAGAAATATGCCGGATGCCAGTCAAAGACTACTATATTATATAGGGAAAATGCTAGTGGTGCGAACGAAGCAAGCTTATCTTATTTGCGTCATACGAGTATATAAACTCACGGGACAATATTGAAGCTGATAAAGCCTCAAGGTATTCGAATATTATACGGAGTGGAAATTGCACAATTTCTATTTCGGAGAAATAATGATGAAGCTTATTCAGCCAGAAATAGATCTATTTGCCTCTTGAATTAATAAAAAGTGTTTAAAATTCGTATCGTGGAAATGAGATCCAGATGTTTTTAAAATTGACGCATTAAATGGGATAATTATTTTTTTTTTCGAATTTCCCCTATTTTAACGATACTGAAGAGCATTAGAAAAATAATTAATGATAAGGCGACCGACATATTAATAGCACCTTATTGGCCAAGCCAACCTTGGTTTCCGCTCGATATATGTTACTGACCACTTCTAAGCTATTATATTTTGGTCCTGATAAAAACATCTTATAATCTCCTTCAAGGATAATTCATCCTTTGTGGCCCAGTCTTACCCTGGTGTGCGCAACGTTATCTAGGAAGCGTTTGTCAGACATTTATTAGATAATATTACTATTGACATATCGATTCAGTCGTTATCCAATAATACAATAAGGTAATATAATACGGTGTACAAATTATGGTTTTCCTTTTTTAAAGACAATAATTTAGGGGTTTTCAATGTTTAAGTACATACATTTATAATATTTTTTACAAAATATTTTAAAAGTGGTGCTAAATATAACACGATAAATTATTTTCGATCAGTTTTGTCACTTATACACAACATAGGCACAAAATCTTGCGTAAATGATATTGTCAGAAGATTTTTTATTTATTTTAAAAGGTGTTTTCAGAACAAGACCTAATTTACCTACAATAAGTCATTGGATCCAAACTTACTTTTATTCTACTTTACGTAAGGTGTTACGTAAAGAATACGCGGTGGCACAAATACGCTATCGGCTAATTTAATAATTATTTATATTACCATATGAGTTAAAAATATCATTTTGTACGGTTTATTAACATTGAAAATGAATAATTATATAATAAAAAGTCGTAATCTGTTCTCCTATGCATATAACTTAAACAAAATAATTTCGATGTTTCACATCTGCCATGCGTCTCTTTTTCAATTTTGTACATAGTTTGTTTGTACTTTGTTCATGCTTTTCTTTTGTTCATGTATTATATTGTATGTAAATATCTTTTTATTTCGCTCAAGCAAACCCAAGCGGCTCTTTTCAAAGCCACCGAAGGTATGCAATTGCATATTTCATATCTATTTTTCATATCTAGCAGTAGTATGCCTTCTGTGCGCTTTGTTAAACACGTCCTTGACAGCATTGAATATGAAACTGAAAAGTGGAGATAGATCAAGATTGGTGTATTTTTATAAAACTGCTAAAAACAATAAAACCATATCTTGGGCTTGCCTTAGTCTGGAGCCTTAGCTTCGCCACTGCCTAGAACGACCAGAAATTTGCCCAGTGAAAGCTCTTTATGATTATATGAATAGACCGAGAGAAAATGAACGAACCAGATAATTTAATTTTAACTATTAAAAAACCTATGTAAATGTCAGTGCCCAATCTTTAAGCCACTGAATTAAACAAATTTTTAAGGATAAAGGCATTGAAGTTAGCGCTTATTCGTCACACAGTACTCGGCATGCATCGACATCGGCAGCGAAGTGTGTCGGTGACTCCATGTGTCATAAAGCGTACAGCTAGCTGGTCGAACTCATCTTTTTGCTTCGTAAAGTTCAATAACTTACTGTTAAAAGATACCCAGCAAGAGAGCTGAGATGCAGTATTTAATAAGAATGAATGATTTAGTCCTAAGAGCAATTGAAATTAATGTATTTAAAATGTTAATTAGTTTTACACAAGATCTGTGATTCTTTTTGCATTGTTAATTAAATATACTCGTGATCTTTTTCTATTGTTTTTTATTTTTATTTCTATACTCTGCAATTAAGCACCAAACATCAATAGTTTTAAATCTCCTAGGTTGCAGCAAGTGCGAAGTATATATGACCAATGAAACTTACCTTAAGTGAATTTTAACGAAAATTATGCGAGTTGCTGTATCCGTACGGATTAAAAAACATCCCCTCCCCCTAAATTAAAAACCCCGTATAGTTAATTGCGGAATGAAAAATTTGTCATTGCTCTAAAAGGATTGATTGAAAAGCTCGGCCGATAAGCCGACAGTGGCTTACAAAAAATCAAATCCTTTTATTATTTATTTTAATATTTTTTTTGTAAAAATAATATCTAAAATTCGTGTGATGATGCAGTACCATAAAAAGCGAACTACTTAATTTTTAAATATCTACGGATGCAGCAACGAGTATGATTTTGTTTGAAGTTCATTTAAGGTTTTTTTCCATTCATAACAAAGTTTTGTTAAAAAAAATGTTGTTTGGCGCTTACTCAGTTTTTCCGATCGCTTGCTCGATATAGCTATGTCATAATTTGCGTACTATGTAGTCATTGCATCACTTTCATTTAGACACTCCCTCAGTCGTCCGCTAACTTCACTGACAAAGGGATAAGCCACGCCCCCAAAACTAAGATTCCTGTTCAAGTTATCCTCTTAATTATAATGATAAATTATTATTACTTAATCATAAATTATTGCATTAGAAGGAAAATCGTCGTCGAAAATAGTGAAATTTATTTCATGCATTTGAAATGAATTTTCTCACATTTTCCCGATTAATATGGTGAATGTTAGATTTTAAAACGGCACGTTTTTATGTCGTAGAGCCATGCTAAAGTTATATTAGTATTATAGTTGTAGTACGAATAGGTTGGCTCGACAGGGGCAGGACCACGCTCTCAAAGAATACCAGCGTAAAATAGTAGTTTAATGCTGCTGTGTTCGTATAGTGAGTGTAGAGAATCGGAGACCCTTTTTACTGGAAACGAGGTATTCCATCTTAGTCCTCACAGGTGACAACGCATCTGCATTTTGTTTCGTAGTCGAGGATAGCTGTAGATGTCTATGGGCCACAGCAACCACTTACCATCAGGTGGGCTGTGTGCTCGTTTGTCCCTATCCTATAAAAAAAAACAATTAAAGTAAAATCAAAATTACTTTTTCACATTGTGCTAAATAAAACAACAGAAATAAATTTAAGAAATCATTTATTTATTACTGTTTTCACAATAAATGTTCAAAGTGACTGCTACCTGCCTCAATGCACAAACGGCACCGACGCAAAAAATTACCACGCAAATCTCGGAAGGCTGCGATGTTTTGTCGTATTATTTCTTCAGCTTTATTCAATTTAGCTTTTAACTTCTTCAAACTCGAGGATTCGAGAAGGAGGTACACTAATTCCTTATAGCATCCCTGGATAAAAAATCAAAGAGCTCATTTGGTGCGGGTACTTAATACGAGGGTGGCACTGAAAATTTCGGGAATCAAGGAAGTGACACAACATTACTATTTAAAAATGTATTTATTGCTTTTCGAAGTATTCTCCGTAAAATTTGACACATTTTTCCATACGATGGAACCAATCATTGAAGCAACCATTCCATTCGGAAGTTGGGGTCTCCAAAATGGCCGTTTTGTAGGCGTCCACAGCTTCTTCAGGTGATGAAAATCTCTGTCCACGCAATTTATTCTTTATTTTAGGGAAAGTATAGAAATCATTAGGGCTTAGGTCGGGGCTGTACGGCGGATGGTCTAATAATTCTATGTTTTCTTGCTCTAAAAACTCTTTTGTTCTGTGTGCGGTGTGAGAACTCGCATTGTCGTGATGGAGGATGATGCGGCGGTTGCAGTTCTCTTTACGGAGTTCAGAAACGACCTGTGGCAAACAAATGCTAGCATACCATTCTGCATTAACCGTTCTTTGTCCCTCAAGAGGAATAGTCGTAACATGGCCGGTTTTGGAGACAAACGTGGCCACCATTTTTTTTGCAACACTCCGTGAACGAACAATTTTTGTTGGCTTTAACTCATTTTCGAACACCCAAATTCGTGACTCGTTTTTTGTTTCGGGTTCGTACGCGTATATCCAGAAATCGTCACTTGATGCGATGTTGTATACAGCATTTCAGGATCCTGCGTGGAATGTTTCGAGAGTTCTGACGCACCAAGTAACGCGAGCCGCTTTTTGCTCTTCACAGAGCGAATGCGGTATCCATCGGGAAAACAACTTTTTTACACCTAATTGTTCATGCAAGATTATTTGT